AAGACCCTCATTAAAGTTGCGAAAATTCATTATATCTTCGGAAAATTCCACTCTATTTTAGAAATCACTCAGCGAAATGATGAAAGGACAGAGGAAAAACAGCTGTTGTTCCCGTTTAGCTGCTAGCGATTGACAGTTGAGCTGTAAATAGTGAGTTGAAGTGAAAAAGAGAAACCAAAAGAAAAAGAAAAAAAACAGAACAAAATCTAACGAGTCCTATAAGGATTGAATTTGAGAGCTAATCAATATCTAAAAAAGAGGCGCAACTCCACCTTTCACGCGACTCTTTCATTCGATCATTCTTTTTGCGCAGAGCTACGCACGATCATCATTTTATATGCCGCTAGCTAGAAAATCGATAATTTCTGTCGTTCCTTACCTTAAAGCTTGCTTGTTAGTCATTGATAACTGCACTGTCGTAATGGAGAATCCCCTATACAACTTTTGAATATTTTGATGTTATTGAGGCCCGACAATCATATTTCAGGTTAAAACGTTCAGCTGGTCCGTCTTCCTGGTGAAGGCAAAATAAATTGAAATTTTACAAGGGTTTGCGAACAGTAATATCCAACTGTCTCATTTAGAGTTCGGTTTTGACTTGAAATGTCTTGTGATGACAACAGCTTGCATTATAAATTGTATTCATCTGGACGCAAATTCACCGTACGTCAATTTTCTTAAGTCCTACACAATTCTCAAAGCAATGTCTCAATAAACATCGTGACGTCCTACTGGCCGCGCTCAGACATCTTCACTCGTTTTTACGATATAACTTAGTTGGGTAAGCACAAAATAACGTTATCAATTTAAAAATAAGCCTTGACCAATGACTGTGTCGTTGTGGCTAGTCTAAGTAATGCAGCTGGTTTGTTTAGGGTATGACATGTCGTTTCTCAGTTTTTTGTGCCTTATTATTAATTAAAAACTGTTTTACACAGCAGTTTTGAAGGCTTCTTAGGTCGCTAAATTAATTTCTCCGACACCATACATATAATACGAACGAGATTCGACGACCGGATGCGACCATTGCCTGTAATTATGCTAAAACAATAATAAAAGATATTGCTTTTAATCGTTCGTTTTCGACTTTTTCCGAAGTCTGCATAGCCTCCTCCAAGCACGAGGCGGGCTGGGAGAGTTAGAGAAAGTTATAAAAACTCGAAACGCCGCTGAGGGTTTGCATAACTTTTGAGAATCTTCTCGAACCCCGGGTATTCGGAAGAGCCCATGAAAACACGGAAAGAGTGCTGAATTGCTTTCATATTTCTCAAAAAGACCATTTTGTCAAATGAAGCGACAGGACGTCATGCACAACCATGATCTTACCCAAACTCTACTACCGACCAATGAGATTGCGAGTACTATTTGAAACCGTTCATACATGCAAATACCGTAATCTTTATGCATAGTGCCCTCCTAGTAATTACCGCCAACCCCAAAGGCTATAATATCACAAACAAGCTCTCTTCTCAAATATGTGACTTTACCACCTCTCTCACTTTCTCGATCGAGTAAAACCTGTTCCTGTATAGTCGCTTAATTTATATTTTTTTAAGCTTCAACTATAGCGGAATCAATACACGGGAGAAAAGTCAAGTAACATCCAGTTATTTCTATTTCCATATTAACCTAAGTGTCAACGTGGATAATGTTAGCGAAAATGTGGTGCTTTTGTTTTCCTATTAAAGATATATCCGAAACATAGTTGAAGTTAGTCGAAAGGAAAACTTAATAAGCGCGCGCCCCCTCAATTAAGTGCCTTTCAGTCCAAGAGAAATATCTTCATCACGGCTGTGCGGAATCTCCATCTGTGCTTTATCTTCTTAATGCTGCCTGATGGGTGTTGACGATCTTGGAAAGTATTATGTCGTTGCATTCAATTCAAGACTGCTAGACGAAGACCGTTAGACGAGATTTAATATATACACACGGGTGCTTATTCGAGGAAATAAAGGAGTTGCAGTAACCTCGAGGATGCACCAGGAGTGGATGTAATTCCCTAAAAGGCTAGATTGAAACTGGGTTCACAATCACACAATAGACAAGGACCTCCTTCTGTTCTCCAACTCATTGTAATCAATATTTTATATGAATACGAAAATATTTTTTTGGCAACTCAAGGGTATTACTTATCAAACTCAAACCGCAACTCAAGTCTTTTTACCACAAAACTTGTGGGCAATTGGTGGATATACCAAATATTCTGGAATCTAACGCATGCTATTTTCAATATTGGACAATTCGAGATTATTTTTTTAACGCGACAATAAGTTTCTTATCTTTCATCTATTTTACGGAGCAGATCGACAGCTTGTAAGCATCTCTCCGCTTGTTATGCATTTTGTTCGGCGAATTCGTTGGTAAAATGTTTTTCACCAAGTGTCGTTTATTTTTGTAGTCTAGTATAAAAATGACCGCATTTTTTTTAGCTGTCACCCTTCAAATTAAATGTGTTTTAGTTTTTACAAGCCAAACTGAATTAATAAAAGTTTGTTCGCTTTTTCATTTCGACGTCGAAGTTAAATTGATCAGCTGTTTCTAACCATTTAACAACAGCGCCAGCATGCCATAAAAGACAGATGGCCTGAGCGTAATCGGGGAGTA